ATTTTTAAACAAAATCTCGTTTTATAACCATTATGTTTTTCACTTCACTTTTTAATATATATATATATTCAATATAAAATTTATTTTTCAATATAAAATACTTAATATAAATACAAATATATTTATATTTTGAATTGTTACATCAATTAAATAAATGTTGTTTTCATAGGAGAGAATATATCTATACAAAGGAAAAAAATTATATCTATCTTAGAGAAGAAAAAGACAAATACCCTCAAGATAAGGAATAATACTTATCTTAATGTGTTTCTATGTATGAAAGTCTTTTAGATAACATAATATTTTATTCATTAAAGAAATCATTGTTATGGATTCATGGAAAATATAATATACAAAGATATTTTTAAATTGAATTATTTAATATTGAATATATATAAATATTATTGAATATGAAATTTATGATATAATATTACCTGTTCTAAAGAAACTCCTTGCCAACTAGACCCAGGATAACATTGTGGTATATTTGCTTGAGTTCCTCCACACCAATGACGAGCTCCTCTCCAGGTTGCACCTCTTTGTACATGTCTAAATTCAGACAAATATCGTGCAACAGGATCCCTTATTATAGTTATATAAAAGTATCTACGTTTTATTCCATCCCCCTCAATTTTATTTAACTCAGTATCAACACAACTAGTTAATTCTGTCCAGTCAGCATGTAGACCACATTTCCAACCAGTGGAATATCTTGAAAAAAGCCAATTTTCATTACGATTTGGACGGAAACAAAAACAACGCTTGCGTCTTCTTTGACAAGAACATGGTCTTTGTAGATCTAGATCTCTAACTAAATGTTTTCCAAATAATGTACCTCCTGTAACACAAAAAAATTTTTAAAAATTGACAAATATTTTCTAATATATTAAAAATTTGTTTTCAAATTTTAATTTTAATTAATTTTAATTTTTTCTTGGTAATGTCATTATCTTATACATTTATATTGAAAGTTTAAGTAAATATTTATGATATGCATATCCTATTATGTATCTTGATAAAGAAAATCTTATGAGAAGCATACATGTGGAAAACAAAAAGGAAATACAGATATGCATGCATAGCATATTAAACAAAGCAACATCCCTGAATTGTTCTTTCTCCTTCTAAGATAGAGCTTGGAGGTTTCACAGTGCCTGATGAATAATGCAAAGATTCAGTTGTACAATGGTCAGAAGGGATGTTGCATTGTTTTTATTAAGCTATAGGATTGGTTGGTATTCATTCAAAGAAATCAAGATATGAAACAATCAAACAAAAAAATATATTTATGCAAAAATTCTATAGATTATTTCATATATTATATTATATAACTCATTATATATTATTTCAATATATTTTCATTAAAAATAAATGATCAAATGAATTGAATTTCAATTAATATATAAATTAATATAAAATTATAATGGAAAATAAAATTTATATCAAAAAACAAAAAAAAAATAAATATTTTCCAAATTAAAATTTTATTTTGATAAAAATTCCTATTGGATATTTTTCATAACTTATAATAAAAGAACAAAATTGATATATGAATATCTAAAAAAAATATCTGAATTAAATAATAACGCAAATTTTACTTACCAGTCTTCTGAATATGCAAGAAAACGATGACATCGTGACCATTGATATCAAATTGGAAAGTATCATTGGTAAACACGTCGTCGTAACCAAGGCTTCCCTGAATACTCTGCAATCTAAAAGCAGGATGTACCGAGAGCAGGCCATTTTTGTCGAATTCGACGGAGACGGAAGACAAACCGGAGCCGGGACCAGCGGATAGACCCTCGGACAATCTTACGGACTCCTTGATCTCGCGGCTCGTTAAAGCACATACGTGATCGGGACAGAAGTAACCGAGATAAATGATGCCCGTGAGCGCGAGAAATAAACATATCCCTACAACGCTACGTAACCGAGTCCTCCGTGCTCGTGATTCCATCGTCGCGGACCTCTCGCATAAATTGTCCTTTATCAGGACCGAGAGTTCGCTAACGCCTTCTTCGCTTGACCGTCTGCCCATTATCGTACCCCATGTTTTTTCTTACCACTAAACACTCCGCGTACCGCTCACTAATGCGGTCTGACCAAAACTACGCTCCCAGTGAACGTCGGCCATGACAGATACTGTATCCCTACCATGCGCCTTGTCGTATAGTCGCCCACCCGCGGTTCTCTTACGGAACATTGTCTGGTATTCGTCTATAACAGTTTCTCAAAGTGAAGTGGGGAGATCAAGAGTTTATTTAAAAGTGTGAACTACGAGAAGTGTACAAAGCTGTAACCATCTATACGTAAATACATATTTATGTTCTACTACAGTTCGTCTATTTAAAGCAATATTTCGCCCTACATCAGGATTTCGGTAAGTTTTACAGTTGCATACAATGAAAGATTATTTTTGAAAACAATAATGATTATAATTATCTCTTTTGATTTATAATGAAGAATAAAATGTATATATTTTTTACTTTTGAAACATTAATTCAAATAATATTCTTATTTGAATTAATTTAAAAGCAATGTGATAGAAGATTATGCGTAATAATCATGTTTCAATTTATAAAAATTTAATTATTATTTATATTGCTTATGAAAATTTCGATACAAATTCGATATTTTCTTGTTTAAACATTATAATTATGAAAAAAATAAGTTTTAAATATGTAAAAATTTAAAATTTTCGATACATTTATATTAGCGCCTTTTTTGATTACTCTGAAGTAAGTTGCAATACGAACAAAAGCAGTTATATATTGGATTACTTCAGATCATAGTCGTATACTTATTATAACCTAATTTTATCTGTCAAATTTTATAAATTTACTATTATATATATAAATATTATCATTTATATACATTTGTGGTGTAAATTGAAGTTATTTTAGTGGAATTCTTAAATTTTCTCAAGTAAGTAAAGTCGTATAATGTTATAATATTTATCACAAATTTTTTAAATTTATTTAAACTGTACTACATTATTGATTTATTAACAACATATAAAGTAATATTCGTTTTATTATTAATTATTATTATATTTAATATTATATATATATATATGCATTGAATATATTATATAATTATATAATTAAGATAAGTATGTATTACAAATTCTTCAAACTCAATATATTATGTATTTATATACTTAAATAGTAATACATTAATGAAAAAATATATGATTATTTTATTATTCTGTTTTTTAAATATTTAGAATGGCAGCTATTGAATTGTTAGAAGATAGAGTTATTGAATTGGAAAAAAAAATATATGGACTTGCAAAGAAAAAAGAAAATACTTTGGAAAATCCTGTGATAGATAATATCTTGCATGTAAATACATTGGTTTCCTCTGCAATGTCAGGAAGAGAAAAAGCAAATCTAATGATAAAGCGATTACCAGAATTAAATACTTACTTAGATCCAATAATTGAAAGTTCAGAAATTCCTATAGAGGCCAAGCTTCAATTATTATTAGCAATGGCATCAGAAATAAAGCAAAATCATGAAATGTTAAAACAAGTACAAGAATTAACACCTGTATTAGAGACTGATCGTCTAAAAAATGTACCAGAATTAACAAACAAACTCAATGATTTGAATTTATCATATCTTAAATTATACGAAGATACTCAAGGATTAAATAATCATATAAATGAAGTTTTTTCCAAATATAATGATGTAATAACTAGTATTTCTAAGTCATTAATTACTATAGATGCTATTGTAACAACAGCTGAAATTGCAGCAATGCCCAAGAAACAATTAGATTAAGGATTTATTGTATAAATAACAAAGAATTATTTATTGTATAAATAACAATAAAATTATTTATATTTAAAATAAGAAAGCTTAAAATTCATTTAAAATACATTTATTTTTTATCTTAGCATATAAAAATACTTATGCATTCATCAATGACTATGCATACATAAACATATTTTATTATTGTATCTCTTCATAACAATGTATTTTATTAAAATACTCATATATTATATACATTTATCTCCTATCTATTTTTTATCCTATTCTATTGTTCATTTCAGAAATCCCTTTTTACGATTTCTGAGACAAACTATTTATTATTGAATAATCAAATATATTTATTCAATGGTCTCTTGTTTCCAATAAATATTTTCATTTTGCTGCTACTTTTTGTAATATCTAATAACTGGATTTACATAAACAATTCACGCAGACATTACACTAATCAGTAATACTACACTTCTGCTAACATTTTTTTGAGATAGTAAACTAGAAAGTGTATGTCAGCATAAATCTGTTAGATACAGTTGTTACACGAAACTTGTTGGGTATTCAGCAGAATAAATGAATGTGTTAAATTGTTTTACATATTTGAATACTTGTAAAACAGCATTCTTAAGAGACCTAATTTCCTAAACATGTAAAAAAAAGTCTCTTACAATGTTAAGCATATTAAACAGTCACTTTATACAGTATTTACAAATAATCTTAATTGTAAATATCTTGTATCGCCAATTATGTTATCTCCGTTATCTTTTCACTTTC